TCCAGGTATTTTTGGTGATTCCCAAGAGTTATCTACTGAATTCTCATGAGCAATCTGTCTTGAGCAAGGGCCATTGTCCTCCTCCCTAGCTCGGCTGGGATCTCTGTAGGGGATGTCTTTCACCAGAATCCCAACCCCCATCCCATTATAATAATCAGTCTCCTGTGAAGCCTGAATGGATATTAAAGGTTTCTGATAATGGAAACTTGATCTTTGATCTAGCCCTAAAAATGGGCAGTGATCAATATACCAGGATACCGAAATGCCCCTCACTTACGTAGAGAACGTTCCAATGCTGAGTAGCTTCCTAATGATGGCAGGAAGAGGTAGTCAGGCTGCTATCATTTTTGATGGATTTGAGTAGGATAGAAAGGCAACAGAAATAATGTAAAGCCTAATTCCTTTGCACATCTGTCACATACCAGGGTGATTTTAGAAAATAAAGGCAAACGGTTCATTGTGGGATTTTTCTTCTTAATTTAGGAGAAAACTCTTTTCCAAGTGAGACAGAGGATCATGCTTTTTGTGTCATAAGGAGCTGAGTTGGATGTTTTCTCATGAAACATTAGCTTATGGGCACATGCACTTGCGTTGGTGTACTATCTGCAGAGGCCCATGCATACTGCTTCATTTTTCTAAAAACATCCTTTGGACACTGGGTAATTCTTAATCTGAATGAAGGAAATGTCCCATATCTTCCCGAAACTCTATCTACGGCTGCCTTTCCTGTGAACCTACCTCTGTTCTCTCTGAATTCCAGAAAGCAAGATGCTTTTGAAAGCCTGCACCTTTTAAAAATAGTGACGCCAGGCGCCCTCTGCTGGCTACTCTAAGTTCTTCAGCTGTGTACTAGTGACGGAGCATGAGGCCAGACAGATTACTAAAAAAAAAGACACACACATACACACATTTACGTATGTATGTGTGAATGTGTATATGTGTGTGTATAATGTGCACACATATACACATTCACACATATACACATATATACACATACATATAATGTATGTATATGTGTATTCATATATATTTTAACCTTTTTTGCTCAGAGGCCCCTTGGAGGTTTTGTAGAATTGACTGTATAAACCACCTCTCCTGAAAAGTACACACATGCGCACACACAACACAGTTATCATTTGGACAGGCAATACAGAGACTGAGTTAAAAACATGACCTCTGGCATGGGACCACCTGTGCTCACCCATTCCCCAGTATTACATCCTTGGGAAAGTACCTTAACCTCTCTGTGCTTTTCAGTTCCTTGTCCATGAAATGGGGTGATAGAACCACACGGGGGTTTTCTGAGGATTAAATGAAATGCTGTATACAAAGTGCTTTGCCTAGGGCCCGACAAATGGTCTTATTATATATTAGCTGTTTTTTAAAATTTAATTGGAAATGACATTCCCTCTGCTCTCTAGTTTTATGTAGGGAGACAAACCCTATGGCCCCAAAGCCTCCTGTTGAGTTGCTTGGTTCTGTCCTGGTTTCTCAGTGAGCAGCATTTGTGTTGAATTGTCTTTGGACAGCCTGTGACCATCCTGCCACTAGTGACAAGAATGCACTTACTCCATAAACTATGTTGTTAATCCAATCATCTCCAGCCATGAAACTGAAGGTCATCTGAATCTTCTTGACCTTCAATGACTGCATAATGTGTCCCTCTGGGGTGCAGTGGGAGGTTCTGCTGCTTAGTGGCTAGGCTCGTGACTTGCATCCATGGGTTCAAAATCAAAAGAAGTTGCACAGCAGTCGTTTTGCAGGGGTTAAGCCTTCCTTTATGATATCATTTGTAATTCAACAGGATTGTCTTGCTGCCTGGGAGTGAGGGAGATGTGGGAGATTACATGGTGTGGTGACACTGGGCTGTTCTGAGTGAGCTGCTTGGCTTGACATGGGGCAGGCAAGGAATCAGGGGAAGATGAGGGACGGAAGCATTAGTAATCCAGCCATGCATCTCCCAGGCAGGCCTGCAGGTGACAGGCCATGTGGCTCTGATGCTGTCCAGGCCAACTCAGGGGCTGCCAGTGCATTTTCCTTGCAGAGCCTGATTAAATGAGGCCTTCTCTCCTGAAGCAGCCAGCTTTGGAGTTTCAACTGCAGGGCAGTGACTAGCAGCCAAGCGTGGTGGTTTGTCCCCCTCTGGGCCTTCTTTCCCCAACCCCACCTTTGGTAATGCTGCCCCTGGGGCCCTTAGAGGCCACAGCCCTCAGAAGGTCAGCAGAGCTAGGCTGGCAAGTGGGTACCGTTTGATCCCTTTTCATTAGCAGCTTGGAAGTTGTACCTGGAACCCTTGTGCTCTCCCGCTACACCCCTTCCTCCCCAAATCACTTCTGTCTCAGACTGGCTGAGTGCTTGGAAATAGTGGGGTGGGGGGAAACCCTAGGGAGCCAGAACTGGGAGTGAGGGATTTGGGGCCAGTATGTTAATGCACTAGCCAGCCCAGGCCCCTTCTCAGCCATTCCACTTCTCTGGGTCTTCGCTCTGTCATATGTAAAACTGGGATAAAAAGAGTGACCAGTTTATGAAAAAGTGGTGAAGTACTTAAAGCATACCACAGCAAATTATACATATTTACTAAAATCTGCCATCAATGAATTCACTCCTACAGAACATATTAGGCCCCATTATATGTATAATATTATGCTACATAGGCACTTTGGGGTCATATAAAACAAAGGTAGACCACTTTGTCCTTCCGGAGAAACTATATATATATATATGGAGAGAAAAATTCTGTAACAACACAAGGCGAAGTATTTTACGTGTCAAAACGAGTGACATGCTCAATTGGTGCTACAAAAAACTATTATAGAAAAGGGCCTCCTCTAAGTGTGTGTGTGTGTGTGTGTGTGTGTGTGTGTGCGCGCGCGCGCGCGCACACACATGCCACTTATTATCTTTGCCATGGGGTGATATGAGCATCACCTGAGAGTTACTATTTATCCCAGTTGTGATCATGTGGTCATTTGCCCAGTTATCTGTTTTAATATCTGCTCCTCTCGCAGAATGAAAACTCCATGAGAACACAGCATTTTTCAATCCCCTTGTTTTGACTCCATGTTAGCAAATAAAAAATATTTCAATCAGTATTACACCAATATCAATTTTTGTTCGGAAGATATTTTTTTAACTCATGCCGTTTAAGCCAACTTAATTCCTTCATTATCTATGCAATACAGTCAAACCATTTTCTTAATAATTTTTTTTTTTAACTTTTCTGAAATGTTTCCATTGGCATCAATTCACCATGATTTGGTCTACCACTTTTTTTGTGCATGATACATATCAAATTTCACTGATCTCAGCTTTTGCCATTGTGATTTTTAAAATAGGTATTTTATCTACTAGGTTTAATTTTCTCAAATCTGTAGATAGAAATGTTATAAATTTGAGTCTTGGGTTATTTTTGTCAAGCTCTGTGCTATTTTGCCCTATGTTGCCTTAGTTTACATGGATATGGATATGTTTGTGTAGATGATCGGGCCCCAGCCTCAGCTGAGGTCCCATTATCAGTTGCCAGAAATAGTAAGTGAGGAAGGAAACCTTTAAGGTGACTCCAGTCCCAGCCATCATCTGACTATAAGCACAGGAGACCCTGAGTGAGAACTGCCTGGCTGAGCCCAATTACCCTTCTCCCCTAAAGGTAATGAGAAATAATAAAATAATTGGTGTTGTTTTAAGCCATTCAATTCTGGAGTGTTTTTGACACAGCAATAGATAACCAGAACACTGTCCTGATATCACCTAATTAAAGAGACATCTTTTTGTGTCTTTCACATCCTGTGCTGCACTCACCAGGATGATTTTTGGATTCTGGAGCAATAGACATTTATTTACAAGAAGTGAATACAATGTACAAAGGCACATTAACAGAGCTGGGGAATAAGATGTTCTGTCCAGTGAAATATTCTCATTAACAGAATTACATGCTTTCAGCAAATTGCTGAGGACTAAGCAGATGCTTTAGGCAATTCATTGACTGCAAAGAAACACTTTTCAAAGAAATTACCAAATTGTAAAGAATAAAATGCTCACTATATACTGAACATACTTTTTTTTTTTTTTTCCTTCGGAATCGTCTATTTTTTGGGGGTGACCATTATGCACACCAGTGACTTCTGTACTAAGCTGCCCCTCCTGTGACTTCTGGTGACAGGTCAAACAGCCCACCTCTTGCAGTCAGCAGGACACTAGTGATCTGCTGCTCAGAGCAGCAGGGCTCAAGGTCACTGTTGCTATTTATTGCTCACAAAACACTTTTTTTTTCTTTCTTTCTTTTTTCTAATGAATGGTTGTTCGCTAACAACCAGGGCCACATCCACCCAGGGCATAACAGTCATTTGAATGCTCTTTGTTGATGTTGGAGAAGATAAAAGATAAGTTGGGGGACAGGAAGCACGCCCTATTATTCCCTAAGACTTTGAAGGTAGAGAAATCCAAATGTTTGTTTTGTTTTTGCAAAACACAAGATGCAATTAAGAGTCTATGAAGGCAGAGAATTTCCTTTAAAAGGGGCTACTAATGCTTCACAGAGCATAAGCAAAGAAATTCTTTTGATACTTCTGAGCAGGAGGAAGAACTCATTTGTTTATATAATTCTTCAACTAGGGGCAAACATTCTGAACGTTACCACAGTAACAGCAACAGTTAACGTTCATAGAGCACTTTGCGCCAGGGCTGTCTTGCTTGCTCTGTCTGTCTCATTCTATCCTCACGCCACACCTATGAGGTGGGTACTATTATTATCCCCCATTTAACAAATGAGGAAACTGAAGTGAACAAATGAGGAAACTCAGGTGAGCCCACGGCACACAGTGAAGCCGTGGGAGCTCTTCGTATTGTACCGTGAAAGAGATTCTCCCTTTTCCTCTCTGAAGAGACATAAAGTGGTGTAATAGGAAGGGTATGAAACTACGAATCTGGATTTTAATTTCAGCTCCACTTCAAACTAACGATCCCAATTCGGACGTCATTTAATCAATCTGAAAAATGAGGGAGTTAAACAGGAGACTCCGAAGATCTCTCCTTGTCTCAAATTTCTGATTCCACGAACAAGTTTTGCCTCAGAATCACAATAACGTTTGCCTTGGTTTGTTTTTGTTTTATTTCCTCACTCTCTTTTTTTAAATTTCGCCTTGGTTTTCAAAGCAGCACAGAGGAGTCTGCAGCACGGAGATGCCGAGGCCTGAACATCACGTGGGCCTTCAGGGACAAAAGGCACCACTCACCAGGTGCTGGGCGTCAAACCATCAAGTAACCCAATCAGTATGAGAAAACTCTGACCTGCTGTCACATTTATTTTCACCAAAAAAAATGAACTATCCAACGAGAGAACAGAGAAAACCATTCACAAATGAGATGAACCAAATATTTATGACACATAGAAACCTAGCAATACAGAGAGCATTATGTGGTTTTCTTTCGTACTTATTTTGAAAAGCACATGGCTTACCCATGACCAAAGCAGCAGTCATTTAACTTTTTGCTTACTTATCAGTTCCGAGAGCTAAATTCTAGTTTTGTTTGTGCTGCTGAGAAAACAAAACGTAATCCCAAGAAATTTTGGGAACCTTTTGATTTCTCTTATTTTTTGAGAAAATTTGACCCTACTGAACCTTGAATAAAAATTTCAAATCAATATACAGATTCATATAGGCACTATTATTTTACAGACGGAAAAATGAGGACTCAGATATCTTGTTTAGGGTTACAGATAAATGATGACAGAAGCAGTGAGAAAATCCTGGGCTACTTCCCAGTGTGGTAGAATAGGGGTTCAGACCTTCTGAATTCAGCAAGGGTATGATCTGCAAGTACCTACTCCCCTGAAAGTTAGTCGGAGCTGACCACTGAGAGTGAAATTCCTTCCCACTATCGCTTACTGGGTTCTACTCTGGTGCTGGAAGCTGGATCGGAGACATGTTGCTTCCAGGATCCTCCTCAGTTTACACAGGGGAAGCTTCCTTTCTGAGAGAGCTGAGCCTTCTGCTCACTCATCTCTAGATCTTCAAAGTGGCAGACAGAGCATATTAACTTCTCAGGTCAGCATGCAGCACTCAGTGAGCTCGGAAATTAAGAGGCAGACCAAGTGTTAATTAGTACAGTGTCCACTGGAGTCCATGCCTGATTCTTTAGGACGCCAAGAACTCACTAGAAGCAGGCGTCCTCCAACGCGGGCCCATGGCGGTCTAAACCCAAGGTTACTCAGCCCACAGGGACTGGCTGAGCGGCTGGAAGGTCCGACGGCTGACTGTCCTCTTGTTTAATAGCACCACGTGGGATTTCCGATCCTTGGGCGTATGGCAGAGCAGAGAATCCAAAGTGTAGGTCGTGACCTGGCCATTTATGTGAAGTTTCTCATAGAGCTCATCAAATCTGGCCAGAAGGGTGGGCACATCCTTCACTTTTTCCCTCACTTTGGCCAGCTGGAAAAACGCAGAAAAAGCAAACATTTTATCTTTGAAAGATTTCTTTCTTGTTCTTTGTATCCTCCAAGAAGCACACATAAATACATAGACATGTATAGTATACACCTAAAGTGATAAAAACCCGGGTATTAGGGCACAGAGAGGTAGGACTGACTAAAAGGGATTCCAAAAGCTACACACAAAATCCAGAATTAGTGCTTGAAACTCATACCTCAATTTTATAAAAGGGGGTTTAAATGGCACAAACTATACAGTGAGACATGCCAGGAAAAGGAGCTCAAATAGCAATGGAATACGTGTGTCCAACTGAATGACCAGGCAGGAGGCAGGACCAAAATACGTAGGGTTTTACAGCGTAAGGTAAGTTTGTGTTTTTTTTCCTTCAGAGAGTGGAAATCTTTTGTGAGAAAATGTTTTGTATTAGGTTAGGAACACGTTGCATTCTGGCACTTTTCAGAGTGTATTTGGGGTGAAAATGAATACATCTTCAGGTTTGAGAGACAGGGTGAATGTGCAGATTCTCACAGGAACAGGTGAGTGTGTGTCCCTGTTATTTAGCATCCTGCCAGCCGAGGTTAGCTTGTGGAAGTGGCAGGAAATAAGTACAAGGGAGTCTGTATTCCAGAGTCTATGGAGCTCTACACGCCACTTGCTTTTCCTTTACATCCTCTTCTCTCTGGCCTGGTTTTTCTCTTCCCACTTACTGCAACTGCTTGAATGCTGGCTTTGGTGTTACGCATGATAAGTTTTTGGGAATTTATTCTAAAAGCCATCGCAGGGTCCAAGCTGGAACATAATGTGATTTCGGTTTATAAAGCTCTGTCAAGTACTGGTGGGTGAGCGAATGTGAAGGCTGCTCAGGATGTCCCCACTATTGCCCAGATGAGAGGATGCTGGTTTAGACTGGGAAATGTATAGAGAAGATGGAGAAGTAGATGTAGGTGAGGTATATTTTGAAGGCTAAACTGAAAGGGTTTATTGTTGAAGCGGTGAAGGAAAGGGTGGTATCAAAGATATCTTCCTAATCTGGGCTTTATAACTTGGGGGGGATGGGTGATATCATTAACTGAGATGGGAAGATGGGAGGACCAGAGGTAGAGAGGGAAAGTCAAGAGTTCTGTTTTGGACACGATTGAGAGGCCTGTGGAAGTGGGTATGTCAAGAGTTTGTTGGCTATACAAGACTGAAGCATGGAGGAGAAGTCTAGACCAGAGGCATACATGTTACAGTCACAAGCACATGAATGGTACTCACTTCTACAAAAATGAGGGAGCTCAACGTTAGAATGTGAAGATACTTGCTAAACAAAATCAGTATTTTACTCAATTCAATCCCTATTAACAATACAATCTAACATTTCTTGATAAAATTTAATTGTAATCAAGGTCCCTAACATATCCTTTGGTCATCTTCTAAATATACCATAATCCTATTTGCTGCCTGCACACCTTCCTTTCACACAAGGGCTCCCCCACTGAACCTGAGGATAAAAAGTTTAAGCACTTCCTAATGTTCTTAAAAAGAATAGCATGTTTAATCCTTATGTTCAAGGTGAAGTGACTTAACGTGCAGCATATGATTTCCAAAAGAAGCAAAGCAAAATATGCCTAATTGCATACAACATCAGTTCTCTTACATCACTACAGAAATATTAAATGGAATCATTAGAGCCATTCTACAATTTAAGCAGGAAAGGGATTGTACTACATTGTTGGTTAATTTAGTTTTAAAATGGAAATCAGTGAGGAAGCTGCTAATGTTTGAGTGGCTTCAGTCCTGGTATTGCAGAAGATCAACAAATCTTTTCAACATTCCTCTAAGGAATGTTGCACCTAATGGCACCGTATCTCCTCCACACAAAAGACATTTTAATAACTGTTAATGATGCTCAGAGAGGGTGAGAAAACTTCTAGGCTTATGCCCTGGAGTAGGTCAGAGGGGACGGGCTCCAGGGCACCTGGGGAGCTGGCTGTAGAGGTGTGACCAGTCACCATGGCTTCAGGAGGGCAGGCTGGGGCCAAGAGAGAGGAGCAAGAAGGCCGTCAATGGGGCAGCAGTTCTCTCCTGACTCCTTCTATTTCCTCAGTGAAACAGGAAGCAAGGCCATCAACTGAGAGTGAGGAGTGGGGAGAAGGTACTGGAGGCTTGAGGGGCAGAGAAAAACAGGAAGAGCCAGGACCCATGCAAACAGTGTGAGGAAAAGAATAACGTCAAGCGAAAAAGTTTTCCTAGCATTTCAGAGGCTATATTCTGTTGGGAGGAAAAAATCTCTGCACCCGCACAGAGAAATCTTACAATAGGAATGAGAGAGATTGCCATATTTGACCATCTCTCTAAGGAGGTAGCCTTTTTAAAGGGTGCCCTTCGCCTTTACATGATTTCTGCAGCAACCCCATACTCACCACTTCTTCTGAGAACTCATGTTTTTTCACAAATCTTGATAAATTTCCATCTGTAGCAGCCTTTAGTATCTCTATCAGGGTTTTCAACATATTTGACTGGATATGGATCATAATCTGAATAAAAAAGGAGATGCAAGCTAAAACAAGAGTGAGCCAGTATTCAACAGTGAGAAACGCACCGTTAGATAAGTCTACATAGGTACCTACCCCGTTTTCATGTTATTTCCTAATTTATTTGCTTGCACAAGTTCAAAAAAATGCTTCAATGTATGTCCACCAGCCAAAACTTGTTTTCCAATGGCTAATCAAAATACCACAATGCCAAAACTCGCTGAAGGGTAGAAGTGGAGCGAGCGTGGATTTGGGGCTGGATTTCCAACACTGGCAATTATCAGCTACGTGACTCTGGCCAGGTACTTAATCTCTCTTTCAATTTCTTTATTGGTAAAATGAGGAAACTACCTTTACATCTCACATTTTGAGTTATTGTGAACAGTAAGTAAAATACCAGCACACAGAAGGCAGTTAATAAACATTACTATCAGTTTCTTCCTCCCTATTTCCTCTAGATTTAGAGGCTGTGACAATCAGACAATCTCCTAAGATTGGCTTTAGGGCAAATGACACCTTTACCTTATTTATGCATGTATTTATTTATTTTTGGCTAAGAAATGGAAGGCACATATATTGTTGCAGGTTTAAAGTGGAAGCTGGTTCAAGTTTTAGTGAGGGACTTCTATTTACACTATTGCTATTAAGGAACTTTCAAAGAACTGGGTACTGTACTTGGCTTTCAAAATGATACCACTAATTACCTTCCATCAGACAGACACAAGTGACACAAGGAAAAAAATAATATATTTCCCCCCCCATCACCAACGTTCATTCGTACCATTTGAAAAATACAGAAATGTTTCAAGAAAATGAAAATAACTCTGAATTCACCAACTGTTAAAATCTTTTTAATGAGTGAATATTATATAGCAATGTATTATATAAATAAAATAATGCATCAAATAAAATATGCTTTATTATGTTGATTAATGTGCATATACTTTAAAAAGTAAACTTGTTGATTTCTTAGACTTAATTCCCAGAAGTAAAATTACAAAGTGAAAGTGTATAAACATTTTTAAGACTATAGATCCTTAGGAAAGGTCATTTTTCTGCCAGAGATATTCATTTTTTATACCAAACCAGCTAAGTTCTCTCAGTAGTCCATTTTATACCATTTTATGTTTGTTGAGCAGTTGCTTAGGATGAGGGTTATCTCTGGTCCTGAAGAACAGAAAGAAATGACCCCAAGTAGACTAAATCCAATGGACTGGATCTAAATTCAGTGTTCTAAAGCACAGGCTAACTCATGGGCACACCCTTTCTTGGGAGACGACTCTTCATGGGCCTCTCACATTTGAGCAGCACTCACAGCCTTTATTCCAAATTATTTTCTCAGGGATGCTTGTATAACCAACAGCCTGGGAAGAGAGACAAAGTCTCATACAGAGCAAAGGGCAGGCATGCTTACTGACCATTATAAGAGATTTGGGTTCCTCAAATTCAGGGTTCCTCTCTTTACAAAGCCCCTGTGTGTGTAAGAGGCATATAGACCTCTTCACATCACCCTATGGCAAGTGGGGCTCAGGGAACTGATACAAAAATGCTAATACTCTGGGTAATGCTATTGCCATGAGTCATAAACCGTCCTTTACCTCCTGATGTCTTACATATTCTGCCAGCATCCATGAAACTGTGGCAGGCTAGTTCATTAGCTTTTATATAGGGTAAAATCTCCACTCGTCACAGTTCTTAACACCCTTGTTAATAAAAACCAACCCGAATTTGGCTGGCATGGGTCTGTCTTATTGAGGGCAACGACAAGCCTACCTTGTTGACTGCTACATCTCCAGTGCCGGGCACCTAGTCGACCCTCAGTAATAATGATGAGAAGGGGAGCACAGCAATTTTCAAGGATAAACCCCTTGGAGCTTCATGTTAGAAACTATTAATGATGTCCTCCTGGAAGACTTCAACTTTCCTCCGTAAGTTTTCCCTATTTCCTTCCTTGCCTTCAGCAACTAGCTCTGATTCAGTAGGGATTTCAAAAGTTAAGTTCAATACCTTGAAATATACTGATGAAGAATAAAATAGGTGAGGCAATTACTGATGAAAGGCAAAGATAACATTTTAAGCTAGGAGCTTGTCTCAGATCGAAGTCTCAGGGTACAATTAAGAAATACTAAATCAAGATACAGCACATAGCTTTAATTTTACAGATTTCAAACAAAAGGCTAGGAAAATTAGCAAGGAACAGGGGTAATGTTGGCAAGAAAAACTATGGAGAAGGAACATACACTTCCTACCAATCTGGTTTTCTGTGGCCTCAGGAAATGTTGAAAAATCACTAGATACCTTTGATGAAAAAAGAAAACAGAAATCCTAAACATGCCGGAAATTTGCATTTCTTTTTTTCTCTTCTTTTCTTTTTAAGTTTGCTATACTTGAAGTAGAATATCGTAGTATGATAGAGACTGCTACAATATCCATTCTCCCATTCTTTTTTTTGATAACAGGATTCCCTAGCTTTAACTGATGCTATCATGTATGGAACTCAAAGACTATATTTCTCAGGTTTCTTTGCAACTACATGTGGTCATGGGATTAAGTTCTGGACAATAACATGCAAATACCAGTTGCTGGGTGAGACAGTTTGGAAAGCATCCTTTAAAGGGACCAACTTCTTTGTCCTTCTCTATTCTTCCTACTTCTTGCTGGAAAAGCGATGCCCTAGATGGAAGTCACATGCTTAGGACAGTGTTATGGAATTACAGCAAGAGGCTGGTTCCCTGATGATATTATGGAATGTCACATCAGACCTAGACTGACCACCTCTGATTTTCTACATGATAGAAAAAGCCTCTCATTTGTACAGACGCTTGGTTTTTTTTGGAGTCTACATTGCTCCCTATCAAATGCAATTCTTAACTTATACACATAGGTGAGATGCTGCCACAAAGGGATTAATGAGAAATGAGTCCTGTCTCTTTTCCTCCTTGTGCAGCCTAAGGACTTCCCAGCATGAGCTAGAACTTTCGGTGACCTTAGTGAGTAGGAGAAAAGAGCACTAAAACGTTCACCTGTGTTAAATAAATGATAAAAGCAGCAAAACTAACCACTTGTTAATTCCCTTCCAAGGTAATTCAATTCCAAAATGAGTGTTCATTTAGGGACATGCCAGATTTCTAGAGAGATGATTAGAATTCAAATAGAATTAGTGGAAAGTTACCCTGTGCATGGTCCCCGATACTTTCAGACATATTTGGAAGTGGAAATTAATCCTTTGATATGAGCAGCATTACTAAAGAATGGGCTATAGTTCTTTTAAGGTTGATGGATTTAAATTTAGACCAAAAGGGCAGAGTCAACATGTATGTGCTTCGATGAGATCATCTGCTAAATCAGCACAAAATATAGCACATATTAGCTGGGAAAATGGGAAACCAGCCCCTCTGGGTCATATTGGCAGAAGGAGCAATTTCAATGAAAAGAAAATTGAGGGGGAATAATTGGGTAAGTTCAAATTCCAATTGGCAGCAGAAAAAGGATTTTAGGCATTAATTTTTAAAGTAGATCAGGAAAAAAACTTCATCTATTTCTGCTAATACTACTGAACAGGCTTTCTACTCAGCCTACTTGTCAGGTTTCCATTTCTTAATAATTAACAAATTGCCCTTAAGGATTCCAAGTAGATGACTCAGACTTGGAGAAGCTAGGGCACATTAAATCACTAAAAAAAAAGAAAAGAAAAGAAAAAAACCCATTCTAATAACAAAGACCCAGAATCGGAAAGATTATTAAACCTGACGATAGCAACCATCTCTTTTTCATCATTCCTGAGCAGGATGAAACAGGGTTATATTGAAGTATGAGAAATTTAGATTGGACATTTGGAAGAATTTCCTGAGAATTTTTAAGCAAAACTATCTTTAAGTTTGCTGACAACAGATAATTCCGTGACCCAATTCATGGAGAGGATAATTCATATTCAAGATCAACTCAAGGTTCCTCACTTAGCCCTCGCCTGCAACATGCCTATCCCCACATTTATCAGCTGCCTTTGCTTTCCAGCTGTTCTCAGAGAAAGGGAGCTGTTCCAGCTGCCCAGGCTCACGAGTACACTTCCCACCATGCTTTGGATTTCTCCTCTACTGTGAGTGGACAGCTTCCCTCTCAGCAGGCTCATGTTTTATTCCCACCAAAGCATTTTCTCCTTTGGGCAAACAAAAAATCATTACTAGGTTCTCGTAACAACTGTGAGAGATAGCCAAGGATTGAAATAGGTGAGAAATCTAAAGTCCAGGGTGCATTAATAGCAGATTTGATTTTTGGCATCTAGCCCTATGTTATTTTCATTATTCAGGAGAAGCAGCTAGTCTCAATCCTGCAGAAAAGAGACACAGTCCTTATCTCTGTAGGTCTGGAGTGGTGGGGAAACCCTGGGCTTTGTAGTCAAACAGATTTGTTTGTGTTAAAACCTTGACTCTGCTCTTTAATTAACTGCGAGACCTTGGGCACTTTACTTACCCATTGAGTCTTCATTTTCCTCATCTATAATATGGAGACATATTGTTCTGACAGAGTTGTATAAAGTGAACCAACAAATGTGAAGTATCTAGCATGGTACCTTAGCTAAATTCTGTTAAAGCCCTGTCTATCCCACTCTCTTCAATGTATCACCACCAATCCTTCTTGATCTCTACAACCTCACTTCAACTGGGAAAAGCTAGTAATGGCCCATATGAAACCCCTCTCACCACACTCTCCTGTATTTCTTTCCTACGTGATGCTATGAACCGCTTGGAATCCTTGCAATTCTACTTCTATTTCATCTACTTCAAATCCATCATGCAATGAGGGCATCTGCAGGCCTCTCTCTCTCTCAGAAGTTACATATTTGAGATACCCAAAGTTGTCCATATCCAGCAGGAAGCAGAGAAGGTAAAAGACATATGATATTTGCTGGAAGACAAGGCTTCCTAGTCTGTTTGGCTTACCGGTATTGCTGGCTGAAATAACTTGAACTTCTGGACTCGGGACCTTTCCACCTTGGCCTCCCAGACCTGCTTGAGTGACCCACCCACTCTGATATGCAGTTTCTACTTAGGTGCCCAGTCCTGAGACAGGAAAGCATAGGTGACTCACTGCTCACTGGGGCAGATGGGCCATGGCAGGCTGGCAGCATGAGAATGAAAATAACTAACACCTATTGAGCGCTTACCTCGTCAGGTACTATTTTATGTATCATAGGGATGTGAGTTAGGTAGCATAAATGGGATGCGATTAGCATGCAGGTTTTTCTCAAGTTCTTAGTAAAGAGTCTGAGGAGTCCATCCCCCTTCTCTTTCCATCTACAGCCATCTGTAGTCATGTGTTATAGTGGCAGCATTTATCTATCATATATCTAAGCATGTCTATATTTCCCACCTATTTACAAACTCCTGGAAGCATAGGCTGTGTTGACTCCTCTTATTGAGCTTTCGCACAAAGCTCAATAAATGAATGAATTGAATTAAGCCCTTGAGAGATCAAAAGTCATTATACACAAACAAAAACCTCTAGTCATCATTTTAGTACATTTCAAGCCTTGCTTTAAACCATAAAGTCACTTACATTTAAATTAGTGCAGATTATGCTTTCTGGCTTCATGATTTGAGAAAAAATGGATATAGCTTTTTCCACCTGGTTCTAGAGAGAAGAAAAACAAGTCATACCCCATCATTTGAATATTACTTTGCTGTCAAAAAGATAATTTAAAGATGTCAGAATATGTCTGTTCATGGTGCCCCAGGGTTTTGAAGTCCACAAAGAAAAAACTTTTTTTGGTAATCAAGAATGAATATTCTATAAAATGTATCCTACAGTGTCATGTTACTAAATGTTTTAAGAACGTACCCGAGTTCCAGAGTTTAAGAGGGAGGCATTAAGTTGACATTTTCCATTCTTCCGCTAGAATGAGCTTTAAAAACAAAGATTGAGAAACAGAAATGCAAACCCCACCTTCGACATGATTAGAACGTAGCAAAACCTCAAGCCACAGAAGAGGTGGAAGCACCACCCGAAACACTGGAGGTGGAGCCCAGTAAGCCCAGAGGAAGCAGTGAGAGAACAACAGTGCTACGTATCTCAGAAAGAGCCCACAAAGTAGTTCTCAAAAGTGAGGGGCACAACAGCAAAAAACCTAAATTCCTGTTTACAATGGTGGTAAGCGGGTTTATGACTAGCAGTGAGGAGTCCTCTGGATCCTAATGGTGGCAGGGGTAAGGCTAATCAAGGAGTTACACAGATAAGCCATATTCGCAGGAAGCAGTATGGCACTCTGGCAGCCTAAGGGACCATGCCTATTCCTATTGGCCAGAGAGAAATAAAGCCTGTGCATATTTGTAGACAAAACTCTGCGTCACATAAAGAAAAATCCTGCTAGCCTAGAACATGGCAACACAGCTCTGGTCTCTCTCTGACATGAATCTTCTGCAAATGGCTGGTCTGAAAGAAACTTATGTTTTTCCATGATGAATGATCAAACCAGAATGAGCACATGATCTAATATAAAGACAATATGGGGGGAAAAAAGGAGAGAAAAAGAATATACCAGAAGAGAATAAGGAAATAACTAAGAGATGAAGAAATTCCAACATAAAAGTGTTTCCATGGATATGGAGGACAAAAATGAGAAAAATGAACATGATCAAGTCACTTGGAAATGGGAAAAACTCAGGCAGGCCTCAGGTTCTCCATGGCAATATCCCATACTAGAAGACAAAAGAGCAATACCTAAAAAACTCAAGGAAAGCAAGTGTTACCTCAAAATTTTATATTTTGTCAATTTAAAAGAAAACAAAACAAAAAAACAGGCAAATAATTTTAAACACCAAGAACTCGGGGCACACTATTCCCCTGAAGAATTTACTAGAAGACACACTTCGGTCATAAAGAAATGACTGAAAAATAAATAGTAAGACAAGTAGCAGTAAACAAAGAACATATTTAAATATATATAAAACCAATGTGGGCAATGTGGTCACGGAATGGAGCATAAATGCCATACACCTGTACAATGAAGAAATGATCACACAAAAGTTGGGAAGAGAAGGAGAGAAGGAAGATAAGCGGTGGAGAAAGTATCTGACCATTGCTTCATCTTTATTACCTAGAGTCCAAAAATATCATTAAAAGCTGACAAGTCAAGCATATTTAAGAGAAAAATGAATACTATGAAAGATAACATATCAACCAAAATTGGGTGGTGGAGAAGAAGTAAACTAAGAGAGGAAAAAGAAGAAATATACTAGTTTCACCATTACTTACAGTAGAAATTAATAGGTACTGCCAAAAGAATTAGAGGACTGAGATAACTAAATAAAGTTACAGTTTTAAAGTAACCACTAGAGCAGAAATGTATATCAAAACAAAGAAAATCACCACATAAGTTATTTAAAAAGTTATAAAAACAGAAAGCATAACCAAAACCTAAGATTAAATGTTATATCTATATAGATGCACTATATTAAAAGACTAGCAGTACATTATAAAGCAAAGTCCAAATCTATGCAATAC